ACACAACAAAGCGTTTAGTACCGTCACATGAGCTCTCGGCAGCTCGATGTGCTGCTCGATCATGTGCCATTGGTGCCATCAGCATCGCATCCTGACAGATTATGAATTCTGAATATCAGTGGCTGCTGAGCCTGCGAATAATACTACTGGGGCTCCCGGCGCCCGTCACAGCATCAGTCATCAGCCGCGAAGCAGAAACCGCAGGGGCCTGATACAACGGGAAATGGTGGCAGGGAAAAGGTTGATGCGTTCAATCAAGGGTCACCGTTGCCGGCCTTCGCCGCCTCGCCGTCAAAGATCTCAGCTGCCTGAAATTGTGTTACAATAGACAATCAAGGCAACCAAGTTAAAATCTGAACACTTCAACCTGAGTGTTTGGCCGGCGTCTCCTTGGCGCTGGTCTGTCCATCGCCCTGCACAAACGAAGCGGGGAAACAGTCTGGGAAAAAGATATGCTGCTCAGTCTGTAGTCTGTGGCCTTCGCCCACTTAGACTTGGGCTTGATCGTCTCAGCCGCCTGTTCGAATGGTCCGCGCTTCAAAAGCGCATCATGCTAGAGAAACTACTGGGGGCCCAGCGTCCAAGGTGGTCCGAAGCTGCCCCGTGGCCTCGCAAATCCAAGCTTTGTTCATGCTTCAGCGATGCTGCTGCAGTGTCTGAGGCTGAGGTTTCTACGGGCGGCGGTGGTGGGGCGGGGTCCTGTCGTGGCATTGGCGGTGGCGGGCGAAGCACCTGGAAGGGCCGATTCAAGATTGCAGCTAGCCGCTTCAGCGATGCTGCTGTAGTCAGTTTTTCTGAGGTTTGTACCGGCGGTGGTGGAGGAAAGGGTGGCTGCAGATTTGGCTGCGCTGGAACAGGTACCTGGCAGGGTCTGAGAGATGATGTCCACTTTCGTAGTAAGCAGGCACCTGCCTCTTGGCCAGGGACGGCAAAGCCACATCCAGTCGGACTTGGCACCTTCAACTTGACAAATAATCCAAACATGCAGCACTTTCCGACAATCCTACCTGCGGCACTCCGCCGAAGAGCCAAGGGCCCACAGCAGCCGAACGCGCCTTCAACGTGACCAGGCCAATGCTCCAAAGAATGCTTCAAACTCTGACAGTCCTGCCTGCATGAAAGCGAAGGGAGGAAGCCCAGCAGGAAGTTGCGCAGCCGGGATGGGGCAGACCTTGAGTGTCATTGGGTTGAATCAGTACAACGCTTACACAATCAACGTGGCCCCAACCGGCGGCTGTGGCTTCGAACCTTGCAGCTCCGCAGAGGCCTCGGTGTCATCGGGCCGATGCCAAGTCAATGCCAAGCTGAAAATCGGGTGAGGCCCCAACCGGTGCGGACACTCGCAGTCGGTGCAGGCTCTGTCTCGCAGCCACGAGCTCATTCTCGAGCTCCTCATTGTTGAACCTTGAGGCCAAAAGCTCCTCGGTCAAGACCTTGCCCTCCTCCAAAAGGCCCTCATTCGCAGCCACGAGCTCACTCTCGAGCTCCTCCTGGGCCTTGCCCTCCTCCAAAAGGCCCTCATTGTTGAACCTTGAGGCCAAAAGCTGCTCGGTCAAGGCCTTGCACTCCTTCTCTGCGTAGTAGTGCTTGCCCTTCCAGCTCTTTCTTCGAAGCTCCGAGGAAGTGAGCTCTGAAGTGAGCTCTGACCTGAGCTCCGCCTCTGAAGCGAGCTCTGACCTGAGCTCCGCCTCTGACTCGAGCCGCCGCTGCTCCCTTTCAGAAGTCTCCAGGAGGCGAGCCTCGCA